GGGGGAGGGGGTGAAGGGAGGGCAGGGACAAGGGGAAAAAATGAGAACCAAGACCTGTCATGTAGAGGTACAAGATCCCAATGATGAATGTAGCTGTACTGTACACCTAAAATGTACCAATAAACTCTATGAGGGGAAAAAACAAAACAAAACAGGAGAACCTTGGACATGTGAGCCCGGAACTCAGAATTCTGGGCTAGAGACACACATTTGTGAGCGGTCAGCATATAGATGGTCACAAGACCAGGGTGCTGAAGGCACACCTGAGGGAAAGAAAAAGTAAGAAAAGAAGGTCCAAGCCAGAGCCCTGGGCCTTCACCTTCAGTGAAGAGGATGGGGAGGAGAGAGCCAGAAAGGAGACCATGAAGGGTGATCAGTAGCATAGCATGGCGGTTGTCACTGGGGTCTCGGAAGCTGTGTGAAGAACATCAAGGACGAGGGGATGGGCGTCTGTGAACATGCACTTGTGTTCCAGTGAGCAGCGTGAGATAAACTTGCCCGAAGGAATTCTGGCAGAGGCCTTCGGGAGGGTGTTGCTTTGGCCCAGAACACACCCCCAAAGCCTCCTGTGTGTGTGGAAGGTGACGGGTGGGGAGGGGCGCTGTACTCACCCGGCCTGGCCCACTTAAGAATGTGCTCTTTAGAGGTGGGGCCTGGCTGCAGCTGGGTCCCTGGGAGGGTGACCTGGAAGGGTACATTTTGACCCTGCCCTGCCTTCTGTCAGCTTCCTGGCCCCAGTGGGTGAACATTCTTCTGCCATACTGTTTGTGCGGTGGAGCCAGCCAACTGTGGACTGAACTCCCTGGAAACTATAAGCCAAATAAACCTCTTCTGCTCAGAGTTGTGGGTGTTGGGTATTTGGTCCCAGTGATGGGGAAATTGACTAAGACAGAGGATGACCACTTGATTAGAGGTTTATAGAAATAGATGAAGCCGGGCAAGGTGGTGTGCTCCTCGAATCCCAGCACTCGGGAGGCTGAAGCAGGAGAATTGCCACAAGTTCAAGTCCGGCCTCTTGCTACATAGTGAATTCAAAGCCAGCCTGAACTACAGAGCAAGATCCTGTCTCAAAAAAAAAAGAAATAGCTGGGGATATAGCTCAGTGGCGCTGCACTTGCCTGGCAAGGGCAAGATCCTGAGTTCAATTCCCATTATCAAAAAAATAGAAAAAAGAAGAAGAAATAGATGATGCTTTTGTGATTATTTTAAGAGATCCAGACTAAAGGTGTAGGGGTGAAGTCATGTCTTTAACTTACTTTCAAATGGTTAAATAAAACGTTCTTGATGCATATAAGCTTTTAAAATATGGATAAAGCAAAAATTATAATAAGTTTCAAATTGATGCATCTGTATTATATGTAAATGAGTGATCACTGTGCTATTTTTTCACCATTTCTGTATGTTTAAATCCCATCCCACCCTACCACCAGGGATCAAACTCAGGACGTTGCTCTTTTGAGGCAAGCTAAATTCCTCTCCCACTTGTTTAAACTTTTTATTTTTTTGGTACCGGGGATTGAACTCAGGACCTTGTGCTTATGGAGCAGGTGTGGTGCCACTGAGCTAAATACCTGGCCCAATTTTTTTAAATTATTTAATTATGTAACTATTATTAAATTATTTAACTAATTCTTGTAATAACATTTCCAAGAAAGTGAACAGAAAAGAATTAAAACTGTATGGACAACTTTTGGTTTTTTTGGGTTTGTTTTGCAGTCAGTACTAGGGAATGAACCCAAGGACCTTCACATCCCCAGATCCCTGGTCCTTTTAAAGTTTTTTTTTAAAGTTTTTTGTTGCCAGGCATGGTGGCACACACCTGTAATCCCAGCACTCAGGAAGCTGAGGCAGGAGGATCGCTGTGAGTTCGAGACCAGCCTGGGCTCCATAGTGAGTTCCAGATCAGTCTCAACTACATAGTGAGACCCTGTCGCAAAAACCAAAAAAACAAAGTTTTTTTGTTGTTTGAGGTGGGGTCTGTCTTAGTTGCTTTCTACCCATCACCCACAATTTAAGGTTTATTTTGACTCCCAGTATGTAGAGATTTCATTCCCTAATTGGCTGGCTTGAAGCCAAAGCAACATGGAAGAGAAGCAGCAGAGGAGATACAGCTGATGGCAGGGCAGCAAGAAGCAGAGAGAGAGACTCAGGGAGGACGGAAGCACACAGACCCTTGAGGCCACATCCCCAGGGACCACCTCCCCCATCCTTCACCTCCCAACATCACAGGTGTATACTCATCTGTGGGCTAATCTGCACCCCCTCACGCAGCCTCCTCCCCACATCCCCGCCTATGAGTACAGAAGGAAGGCTTTGGGGGCATCTAGGTATAAACCATAACGGGGTCTTCCTAAGTCACGCAGTTGTTCAGGCTGTGTTCATACTCGTGATCTTCCTGCTTCAGCCTCCCAGAGTGCTGGGACTATAAATATACTGCACATGCCCAGCTGAGGGGAATAAAAACATGAATGGGAGTGTGATGGTATGGGAAATGAAGTTAATGGTTTGTTTGCGTTTTTGTTTGTTTTGGTTTTTTGAAGCCAGATCTCACTATGTAGTGCTGGCTGGCCTTGGGTTCATGGCAGTGCTCTTGCCTCAGCTTCCTGAGTCCTGGGATTACAGGGATGTGCCACCATGCCAGGCCAAAGGTCGTTTTAAAATGGGAAAAATTATAGCATGCTCCCAGAGGAAGAAATAACTAGGGCAGAGGTGTATGAAAGTACAAGAAAGAGGGAATTGCTGAAGTACTTTTCTGGAACAGACTGTTGTGCAGTTTGGACTGGAAAGGGCCGGTTCCAAAGACTGGGTCCAGTGCCCTCCCGTCCATGCACTCTGCCCCGTGACAGGGGAGCCACTGCGCAAATGCCCTGAGGCTGGGGTGACTTGGCAGGTGATTAAAGAGGATTACCTTGGCTGGGAAAGCAGCCAGGTGTGGTTCGCGTGGGACTGAGGAAAGAATCCACTCTTCCCTGTGGTATAGATAAGAAAAGCTTTCTGGGGCTGGCGATTTAGCTCAGTGGTGCTGCCGCCTGCCTCACAAGTGCAATGTCCTGAGTTTGATCCCTGCTACCAAAAAAGAAAACAAAAGGTTTCTGGAAGTCCTCAGAGCACCGAGCAGCAGGTGAACTAGGCCAAGGGCACTCTGGGCTTCTCTTCCTGGTGCTGAGCCGCCTGGGGCTTCTCTCTCATGGATTCGCCCTAGCGCCTCACCCCATCTGCTGGATGGAATAGAGGCCAGTGGCCACCATCCACATACAGCCCACACAGTGGGGTCGGCCACAGTGTGGACGGAGGAAAGAACATTGCTCTTCCTGAAATGCTCACCGAGTGCTGTGGACCAACACGTTATCCTGGGTTGGGAATCAGGAGATAAGAATACTGGTCCAGGTTATGAAAATCTGGTTAAAAGATTCCCTGCTAGATTGAGGGGCCTTGAATACAATTCCTAGGCTTGTACTGGCCTTGGTCCTGCTGGGCCGAGGCTGGCTCTGTGGGCTTTGACCGAGGGAGCTGTGGCACCACTTACAGGCTCGTTCTTGCCCAGCTGAATCCGGTAGCGGGAGATGAAGTTTGGTTTTCCAGTTGTGTCCACCACAAGTAGAAGCCCGTTGAAGGCCCAGAAGAGTAGCACCGGCACTAGGGCAGCGCCTGAGGTGGGAAACAGAAGGTAATTCAGGGAGGCGTCGGGTCTGACAGCACACGGAATAACTGAACACACGCTGTACAGGACCTGGTGGGGGCCGCCCTTGAGCCCTGGAGGACAGACGAGCTCCGGGAACAAGGGCAGTCGCTGAAGGACTGTGCATTTATTTTCTTAGCTGTAGAATGGGCACAACAGCATTTAAGGTGGCTAGAGACAGTATGCTGATAGAAGGTATGATCAAACGCTGGTTGTTTACTGCTTTTTAGAACTTTATTAACAGCAAAAGACAGGTTGTCATTAATTCCCCTCCAAATCTCCCCTGTGATTGAAGCTCCCCATCACTCCTGCCACTTTCTGCAGCAGTTCTGGAAGACCCTTCGTGAGAGTCTTTTGGTGCTCCTATGGTTTAATGATGCCCTGAACTAAATCAAAACATTTACCTTCCGAGGATGTTTTGACTCTGGAAGCGCCAGCAGTTGCACAGTGCCAGACCTGATGAGTCACGTGGAAAAGGACGCACCGTGCGAATGCACTTCGGAGCACACCAGCCTGCCTTTGCCGGATGGCCCTCGGCAGGCAGCCCACTCACCTGCTCACTGTGTCTTATTGAACCTTGTAAAGACGCCAAAGAGGACCTCTGGGCAGAGGTCGTGTGGGACGAGTGCGTTCCAAGTGAGGGGAGGATCACAAGGGGATTTACAGTAGTGCATCTCTTGGGGTAATTTTAACACTGAGACATGTACCATATATCTTGATCACATCTTGTGCTGTGTAGAATGCATTAACACAGAAATGAATTTAGTCTGAGTCCTTTGGCGTTATCAGGGAGAAGATACCAAGGAAGAACACGGTGACCTGGGAAACCTCATCCATACCCCTACTGAGTAGGCAGCAAACCCTCGGGTAGTCGGCACCCTGAGACGGAAGGCCTCCTGCAAGGGGCCCTGGTGCAGGTTTCCATACCCTACTCTTGGGAGAGATGTGGTCCATGGCTCTGAGAATTCCTGAAGCACAGAAACCTGTTTATGTCAAAATCCACCCTGTCATCCCAGCATGCTGAGGCAGGAGGATCACAAGTTTGAGCCCAGCCTGGACTTGGGGATTTGGTGAAACCTCTCAATAAAAAATAAAAGGAGTCGGACTGGGGATGTAGTTCAGTGACAAGGCCCTGTGCTCAATCCCCAGCACCTTAGGAAAAAAAAAAAATTCTAAGCCCTGTTTGACCCTAAAACAGTATTTTCCTGGAGCACCGCACAGTAGTAGGATGACATGCGTCTCTGTTAGCCCAGGACAATTTCAATTTATATTTGTCATTCTGGCACCATTATTGATCACATCTCTTCACGCAGCAGGTCAATTGGCATGGCCACTCCACCCATTAACCTCCTGTAGCAGGGATGTGCTGCAGGACACTTTAGAAGACACTGAGCAGTTTGGGCCTGGTAGCACACGCCTGTCATCCCAGCACTCGGGAGGCTGAGGCAGGAGGATCGCTGTGAGTTCAAGACCAGCCTGGGCTACATAGTGAGACCCTGTCTCAAAAAAACAAAACAAAAAAGGAAACATTGAGCAAGACTTAAAATTTAGGGGCCTGGGATTTAGCTCAGTGGTTCTGCCACCTGCCTTGCAAGTGCAAGGCCTTAAGTTCGATCTGTAGTACCAAAAAGAAAGGACAAAATTTAGTTTTGCCTTTCTGCTCCACATCCCACTTTCTGCAAAACCATTTCAAGTATCTCTGCTTCCGTACTGTGAACAAACAGCATTTTGGCCCCCAGCGGTGCTCGTCAGCCAAGGATAGTACAGGATTATGTAACTGCAGAATTGCAAACCTTAATTGTGCTTGTTTTGGCTCCTCTACTTTCCCAATCCCAAGTTTAGTGGCATCGTGGCGCACACCTGTAATTCAGCGCTTGCAGGGATGAGGCAGGAGGATCGCTATGAGTTCAAGACCAGCCTGGGCTCCATAATGAGTTCCAGGTCAGTCTCAACTACATAGTGAGACCCTATCTCAGAAAAAACCAACAAAATAAATAAAAATAAATCCCAAATCCCAAAGGCATGAACAGCACTCCCTTAATTCTGGGTCTCTCCTGGAAGGGGGTTGTGAGAGGCTTGTCCAGCACTGCCATCTCCTAGGTAATCGGTGGCCACAGAAGGATGTAAAATATTTTCCTGCTGCTATCTTTACACATCTGTAACCTCGCTCTTTTGGTGATTGCTGCCGTGTCATAGTTAATGTTCAGTCTATTTTCAGAGTTCCCCTTCTCCCTAAAAACTCTCCCTGGGTGCATTTTATTTGAAATTTTGCTTTTGAGCAGCTGACTTTTTATCTTCCCTCCTAGACTGTGACATACTTTCTAATGGGGCAGGCAAATGTTTCATCTTAAATATTTCTCCATCCTTACACTGGCTTGGCATGTTGTAATGTTAAACAGTATCATCAACAGCCAGGTGTGACATACACCTGTAATTCCAGCACTTGAGAGGCTGAGGCAGGAGGATTGCCAAAAGTTCAAGGCCAGCCTGGGCTACATAGTTCAAGGCCAGTCTGAACTACATAGTGAGACCCTGTCTCAAGTAAAAACAACACAAAACATTGAATGCGAGGTCCTTCACTGTTGTAGATAATGCAGTTAAAATATCTGTGTTTAGGGCCAGGGATTTAGCTCAGCGGTTCGGTGGCCTGCCTTGCAAGTGCAAGGACCCGAGTTCAATCCCTGGTACCAAAAAAAAAAAAAAAAATCTGTTTAAATGGCTTTTCCCTTCCATGGTTATTTTCTTAGGCTTGTTTGGAGCCATAGTTCTGTCTGTAAATAGAGTGGCCACTTCCTGTCAGCCCAGGGAGCTAGATTACACCAGGTCCACGGAGCACAGTCTCAGACAAGACAGCTCCCTGCACTTGTGGAACATGCCGAAGCTGGATTACTGCTATAAAACGCATGCATTTTTATGCAAAGCAGTTCTTTTCCTGTTCACTTTGAGAGAGAGCGTCTTCAATCCCTTAGCTTGCTTTTTAGATATCCTGTTTCCAAAGTCCTCATGATTTTAGTACTCATTGATGTGAACTTCAAGTCCTCATCCTTTGTAGTAATAAACTGAAAAGTCTTTAGAACAAAAGAGTGAAAAAAGACAAATGCTAAAGTCACGTACCCCAGCCCTACATGCCGGTCTGGAAACCTCACCTATTATGAAGAGGATCCACTCTTTCCCTTCAAACTTCCACAGCAGCCTCTCCCACTGGGCTTGCCAAAAGTAGCCGGAAGCACCCCAGAATCTCTGAAGATGCCTTGGGAGGAAAGCCATCCAGGTTTCTGGGTGAAAACTAGTGGGCAGGCAGCATCTTATTCCCGGCTATGCCCCAACCATGCCACCCTCAGGTGCTGGCTTCGGCTGGGCCAGACGAACGTACCATGTGAGTGAGTTCCAGAAGGCCACGGACAGGAGCAGGCCAGAGCCCAGGATGAATGCTGTGTTCTGCATGGAGCCCCAGATGTGTCCCTCCTGGAGCAGGACACAACAGGTCAGCCTCTGTGCCCCCAGTTCCTGCTGGGGCTCGTCCCCCTCAGGGGCGCTTGGCTGATTTCACAAACACACAGTACCTATGTGTGTTTGTGAAAAGTGGAGCTCCACGTTCGGGATGGACCGGAATTACCCTGACTCCAGAGAAGCTGTTCGGCAGTGTGATCACTCAGAGGCCGGGTGGACCTTCTCTATCAACTGTGTCATCACCAGTCCTCTGGGAAGATGGAGATCGACGTTCTCCGCACTTTGGAATCAATTTAAAAAAACAAACCAACACCCAGAGTCCTCTGTGACCCAATTATGTAAGAGTCTGGGGCTGGGACCTGAGTCGCCATGCTTCTAAAGCTCCCTAGGTGGTTCCCATGGGCAGGAAGGTCAAGGCCCCTGGAAGGGACCCTTCCTGTGTCGTAGGACTTCAGTGTCCATGGGCCAGGCCTGTTTTCCCATCCTCCTGCCCTCGCTTTTGAACACAGGCTCTAACTTTCAGTGATCCCCCTGCCTTCTGCAAGATGAGCCAGGTCTGCCAGATGGAGTAAGGCTCAGTGGCCATCGCCGGGCAGCCCTCACCCTGGCTCCTCTGGAAGGCCCTCCGAGCTGGAGGCCACGGTATGCTCCGAGGCCACGCAGACGCGGAGAGGAGCCCCCGCTTCTGGGTGTGATACTTGTCTCCCCCGTGCTGCGGACAGGAACGGGCTCTCTCCCACTGCCTCCGTTTCTCAGTGCAGATGGGCTCTGCTTGGATTCCTGCCTTCCTAGGACAGATCTGGAGGCCCGCCCTGGGTGTGTGGTGTGCTGGGCTCCCGTGCCAGCCAGGGGAGAGAGGCCGACAGGGCTGCGTTTCAAACCCAACACCGCCACCTGAGGCAGCGACACTGATTTGATCGCTCCATTCCAAGTTGGACTGTTCTCAGTGTTGTTATTAATATGTTTTGGATCAAAAGAACACTGCCTTGGCCAGTGAGCCTGTGTAGGACCGGTGCTTGTCGGGGTGCTGAGCTTTGCAAACGAGCACTCGCCATGTCCCGTCTGCCTGCCTGTGACTGAGGAAGAATTTGTTCTTTGCCATGGGCTATTCAGAGGTCACTGTGAGTCTGCAGAAGGGTTACTCTGGGCTCTTCTGATGACTGCAGTTTGAGGATTCTGAGAGCTTTCTTCAGGAACCTTTCTGGACTCACTGGGAATTTTTTGTCTTTTGAGTTTCAACAAAACGAAGTCAAATTACCATCTAAATTTAGTGTACAAGATTAGATTTCCTCAGGGATGGTGTTTTGTTTTGTTTTGTTTTGAATCTCTCCAGCAGCCCAGGTGAAGAAAAATACAATAACCAGGACAAAGGTTCCGTGTGAGGTGCAGGAAGTCACAGTGCCGTGGTTAGCTGGGGTCAAGGGTCGGTTCCGGTCCCAGACTCCAGTCCCGTGGCCCACCCATCCCCGGAGCAGGTGTGGGAAGGTGGGTTCCTATAGCCCGAGACACGGGTATGCTAAGGGCCGTGGGCAGCAGGCAGGTCAAGAGACAGTAATGAGACAGCCGCAGGGACGTGCAGGAGAGTGACCCTCCTGAGCTTCTAAGGGAGTTTGCAGTCAAGTGGCCTCTGTTGAGACACTGCAGGGAGCGCCACTGTGTGGCAGCCTTGCCCCTGCCTCGCAGCGGGTGGAACTGCACAGCAAGGGGTCCAGAGAGAGCCCCTGGCCACTGGCTCACCGCAGGGCAGCACCGCTTTACCTGCTCAGACTTCTCCGGGGGCAGCTTGCGTCTCCCAGCTTGTCCCTTCTTCTGCAGTGGGAAAGAAAGCGTGAGTGGGCTTTTCACACGCAGCTGAGGACAGGGACTGGGGCCTCGGGCTGGCCTTGGGTTAGGGATATTTCTGGAGCGGAGACACTGGTTCTGAAATTCAGATGGAGAAACAAATCAGAAAGAGGTAGGTAATGTTAGGAAGACAGAGGAAGGGAAGGGGCAGTGAATGCTGCACCTGTAAAACCTGTAAAACCCAAAGCTTTTAAACAAGCGTCAAGCAATTGTCTGTCCATTTCTTTCAGTTACTCAAGAGTCACTGCTATAAGAGAATGGACTTGTTTATCCAGGACTGAAATGAGTACTTGTAACGCAAGTGCGTCACTTTATTTATTTATTATCTGTTGGGCTAAAAACAAAGATTTTTCTGAACGTAATCGAGTTCTATGAAAGGGAAAATGGATATGATGTTGGGCATCACCTCTCTTTAGAACGCACCCTAACGAGCATCAGCCAGAGGGAAATCATTACAGATGTGTTTAAACTGGGCCCACTGGCACAGCCCTGTAATGACAGCATTCTGGGAGGCTGAGGTGGGAAGATCGCAAGTTCGAGCCCAGCCTGGGCATCTTAGGAAGCATCATTTTTCCAAAAATAAATAGGGGCTGGAATGCAGCTTATTTTGAAGCCCCCGATCGATCCAAGTACTGAAAAACAAAGAGGTGTTTGAGAAATTTATTTTCAACTGTGAAAGGACAAATCTTAATAGAATTGATATTTAACCAGTAGAGAAAGTAAGATTTGATTTTTTAAAACAATATTGGAGATTGAACCCTGGCCTTTGCACTGAGCTACATCTGCAGCCTTTTTTTAATTTTGAGATCGGGCCTCCCTAAATCTCTGAGTGGCCCCAGCCGGACATGAACTTGTGATCCTCCTGCCTCAGCCTCCCAGAGCTCTGGGATTATAGGCGTGCGCCATGATACGCAGGTCACCCGCCATTTGTGAAGCGGCATCTCCTCTTGATTTGGTGGTGCTGTTAGGGTCGCAGTGCTGTGCATAGTGTCTTCCTTTCGCATTCGAACACGTGCTCTTTCAGACTGTGTTCAGGTTTGTCCGCCAGGGCAGAAATCTGTTTGTCCAGCTGCAAACCCTTCCAGGTGGGGTTCACCGACCTGTGTGCCGGCCCGGATCTGACTTTGCCCCTTGTTACTGTAGTTTTACACCTGACCTCCCACGGCGCCCTCCCTGCCCTCACTCAGTTACACAGTGTACACACGTATGGAAACACCACATGCTACCCCGGAGTGAGGAGTAAACTCTTCACAGTAGGCGACATCCCTCTTACTACTTTTTGTCTTGAGGCAGAGTCTCACTAAGTCTCTAGGTTGCCCAGGCTGGGCTTAAACTTGTGACCCTCTTGCCCCAGCCATCCGGAGTGCTGAGATCACAGGCGCGCAACAACCGGGCTTGGTGCCATGATTTTTTGTTTATTTGTTTGTTTGTCAGTACGGGGGATCGAACTCAGGACTTTGCAAGGCAGGTGGCACCACTGGGCTAAATCATGGGGAATTGACACCCTGGAATGGGCAGGGTTTGGTGAAAAAGTAAAACATTTGCTACCCTTTGCTGCTGGCTCAACCTTGCTGGGTATCCTACTGCTTGTTCTTGTATAAAGCTTTAATCTGGGCCAGGGATTTAGCTCAGTGGCACCGTGCCCACCTCACAAGTGCGAGGTCCTAAGTTAGATTCCTGGTACTACAAAAAGCAAACAAACACAAAACAGTCATCATGAGGGAAATGGAAACCGAAGAGCAACACAGCATTGCTTAGTACCCATTACAGGGGCTGCTGTCACTTTACAAAGAGAGCACAGCGAGCAAAGTAGAGGACATTTGTGCATCAGTATGGTGCAGCCAGTGTGGAAAATACTGGCAGTTCCTCGATAAAACATAAAAATACATAGGGCTGGGGATTTAGCTCAGTGGTTCTGCCGCCTGCCCCACAGGCACAAGGTCCCCAGTTCAGTCCCCAGTACAAATAAATAAATAAATAAATGAACAGGTATCATAGCAGTTTTATACCCGGCTCTAACTCCAAAAGAATTAAAAGCAGTGTCCCGAAGCAACCTTGCACACTCGTGTGTTTGCAGGCTGGCTAAGCACAGAGCGGTCCGTACACTCAGGGACTCCATTCAGCCTAAAACAGGAAGCAAAGCCCGCAGAGGAGTACCGCACTAGGAGTACCGCTGCTTCTCTGGGATCCCGTATTGCATGTGGGTGTAGCATGTAGCGTGGTGGTTGCCAGCCTGGCCACGAGGGGAAATGGAAAGTGGTGAAGAGTTTTAGTTTTGTACAGTGAAAAAGTTCTGGAGCGCCAGGGACGTGAATATAACACTCCTGAGCTTTAAGCTGACTATGATTCAGATGGTAAATTTTATGGTTTTTTTAAACATCACAATTTGGAGGGAAAGAAAGCTTTAATAATGGAAAGCAAGCCGGGCGTGGTGGCGCACACCTGTAATCCCAGCACTTGGGAGGCTGAGACAGGAGGATCGTTATGAGTTCGAGACCAACCTGGGCTCCATAGTGAGTTCCAGGTCAGTCTCAACTACAGAGGGAGACCCTGTCTCAAAAGAACAAACAAACAAAAAAAAAAAGAAAAACAAAAACCAACAATAATGAAAAGCATTACAAAACAAATCCTCCTCTTCCTGTGTGTCAGTGGCTTTGGGTACCGGCAGAGTTGAGCATGTGACCTCACAACTGACTTCAGAACATCCTCACTGCCCCACGATCAGCCCCCAGCCTCTCTACTCCCCCTTCCCACCACCTACCCTGCAGCCCTAGGGCACCTTGCATTTTTTTTTGTTTGTTTGTTTCTGTAGATTTGCCTATTGTGGATATTTCGTATAAATGAAATCATACAGTATGTAGCCTAGCCTTTTGTAACTGGCTTCCTTGCATATTTTCAGGTTCATATGAGTTATAGCACAGACCTGAACTTATTTCATTCCTTTTCACTGCCAAATGATGTTACATCACATAGACATACCGCACGTTATCCATTCCTCAGATAGACAGGTGTAGGTACATTTTTGTGTGAACATATGTTTCTCTTGAATATATACACATACACATTTATCAGGCATAGAATGGCATTGCTGAGTCACATGCTAGCTATGTTTGACCTTTCTTTTTCTGCCAAGGCCTTGATCTACATCCCCAGCCCTTTTGTATTTTATTTTGAAACAAAGTCTCACTAAATTGCCCAAGCTGGGCTGGAAGTTCTGATGCTCCTGCCTCGGCTTCCTGGCACTGTGAGCTTGGGCCATCAAACCTGCTGATATTTAACCTTTTCTTTTTTGATACCGGTGATTGAACTCGGGTAACTGAGCTTGTGAGGCAGGTGGCGGCACCACTGAGCTACATCCCCAGCCTAACCTTCTGAGAAATTTAAATTCTTGTGTGGTTTCTGCCTCATTTTATATTCCCACTAGTATTAGGGTCCCAAGCGCACCACATTCTTACCAGTATCTCTTACCATCTGTCTTACATTACGGCCAACCCAGGAGGCAGGGTGTGGAGGTGTTTCCCACTGTGCTTTTGATTTGCTTTTTTAGGGGGTGGGTACTGGGGATGGAACTCTGGCTAGGGCCTGCGAGGCAGGCGGCAGAACCACTGAGCCACATCCCTGGCCCTGAATTGCATTTTCTTAATGACTAATGATGCTAAACGTTTTTTCTTGTGCCTGTTGGCCATTTGTATACCTTCTTTAGAGAAATGTGTTTTCAAATCTTTTGCCCAGTTTACCATTTGATTGTGGGGTGTTTGTTTGTCTGTTTTTTTAACAGGTATCAAACTCTGGTTCTTGCGCTTGTGACGCAGGCGGCAGCCCTAGCAGCCTGACTTAGCTCAATCCCTGGCCCCTGCTTGTGTTTGAGACAAGGTCTTGCTGGGTAGTTCAGCCTGGCCTTCAACTCACCTCTTTATAGTCGGGGTTGGCCTCAAACTCCTGGCAATCCTCCTGCCTCTGCCTCTGAAATGTTGGTATTACAGGCATATGCCACCATGCCCATGTCTTTTAAGTTGCAAGCTGCTGTATGTTTTTAGATGCCAGTCTTTTTTCTCATGTTGCTAATAGTGCTCCCATTTTGTGAGCTGCCTTTTTACGTTCATTTTCAGAATGAAAAAAAAATTTTTTTGGTATTGAACTCGGGTCCTTGCGCTTGCAAGGCAGGCAGCAGAACCACTAAGCTATATCCCCAGCCGTAAATGAAGATTTTTAAACAGTTTTTTTAGGTGTGATCTTACTATATCGCCAAGGCTGGCCCCAAATTCCTGGGCTTGAGGAATTCTCCTGCCTCATTCTCTGAAGTAGCCAGGATTATAAGGGCATCTGGCACTACGCCTAGCTGAAAGTTTTCATTTTCTTTAATTTCCTTTTTTGAGAGAAGGTTTCACTGTGTAGTTTAGACTGGTTTTAAACTCCCTGTAGCCCAAGCTCACGTCAAACTCGCAGAAATCCTTCTGTCTCAGCCTCCTGCATCCTGGGATCACAGGCGTGTGCCACCATAGCCAGCCAAAAGTTTTAATTTATTTGTGTATTTTATTTATATATTTCTTTTGAGACAGGGTCTTGCTATGTACTACAGGCTGGCCTTGAACTCACTATGTAGCCCAGGCTGGCCTCAAACTCTTGGTGATCCTTCTGTCTCAGCCTCCCAAGTTCTGGGATTACAGGCGTGCGCCACCATGCCCAGCATGTTATAAATTTTTGCATGTTGCCAATTTATCTTTTTTCTCCCTATTTGTCGCTTGTGTTTTGGTGTTTTATCTAAGAAATCGTTGCCTAATCCCAGGTCACCAAGAGTTAAACCTATATTTTCTTTTAAGAGTTTTTTTATTTTAGCTGTTACATCAAAGTTTGATGGCCCTCTCTGAGTTAATGTGTATATGTGATGTAAGAGGTTGAACTTTATTCTTTTTCCTGGGAATATCCAATTATCTCAGCGCCATTCGCTGAAAACTCTTCTTTCCCCGTTGATTTGTCTTGACCCCTGGCACAAATCTACTGGCAACAAATGGGTTCTATTTTGGGTATGTTTTTTTTTAACGATTGAATGGTTGACCCATATTGTGATTAATTTTCTG